ACCGCGAGCGCGCCCGGCGGCCCTCCCGGGGGCGGCGGCGGCGGCTGCGGGGGCGCGGGCGGCGCCTTGCGGCGCTGCGAGGCCAGGATGGCGTTGGAGGCGGCGCGAGTGCTGTTGACCAGCAGGCACTGCTGGCACGAACAAGGCTGGCCCGAGCTGGCGCCCACGGGCCACGACTGCGACTTGGGGATGGAGCCGACCGTGAGCGGGTAGGCGAGGTCCAGGCGGCGGCGCAGGCGGCGGCGGCGGCGCGTCTGGCGGTTCATCTGCGACATGCTGTTGAAGTAGATGAGGTAGCAGAAGCCGAGCGACGAGAGGTCGAGCCACGGGTGCTGCTTCTCGTAGGCATTCTGGATGGTGATGCAGATGTCCATGTCGTAGGCCGTCCACGCGCCGCCGTCGTTCTCCCACTCCCACACGATGCCCTTGCCCGGCGCCGACGACGGGTCGTAGAAGTTGCGCCGCACGGGCCGCATGGTGCCTGCGCTCACAAGGGGAGGGCGGTCAGGGGGGGGGGGGGGGGGGGGGGGGGGGGCACCCCCCCACCCTCCGGGGTCAGCACCCACACCGGAGCGGTGGCCGCACAGGCCCCGGGGGAGTGGGGAGTGGGGCGGGGGCGAGGGGGTGCGGGGGCTGTTCGGACCCAGGTGCGGGGCGCAGGGACAGCCGGGCCATGGCCATGCGAGCAGTGGCGGGCAGGCTGGCCTTCTTGCCTCGTTCCAAACTTCCTTCATTCATCCATCCTCTCATCGGTGCTTTAATTCAAGCACAAATTCATCTCTTCACTCAACCACTCTTCCATTGGCTCATTTGTTCATTCATTCATTCGCGCCTTAGTTCTTGCATTCATATCTTCCTGGGTTCGTTCATTCAATAATTCTTTCATTAGATCCTTCACCCATGCCTGCAGTCATCCCTTATGCTTCTCACTGCATGTCTTCTCACTCCCTAATTTAATTCATGCATTCAGCCATTCCCTCATTTACTGCCACCCTATTTAAAAATTGCCACCCCTCCACATACTTCCTTTTCTCTCTCTCCATCCCTGCTTGGTTTTCTCCATCTGGCATAAGTTATATTTTACCTATTTATCTTGTTTTCTGTCTCCTCTCACTAGAATGTCACCAAGGCAGGGACTTCATTTTCCTCCCTGCTGTGTCCCCAGCACCTGCACACAGTAGGCGCTCTCAACAGATCATTGCTGAGTGTATGAATGCATTCCCTAGTTCAGACCCTGAGCCTTTTGGGGTGTGGCTACTCTTGTGTTCCTTCATGACTTTTGCTCATTCCTGCAGACCACCAATTCCTTTGTTTTTTATTCATCTGTTTGTTGTGTTCCTTCCTTTAACAGACATCTGCTGACGGCTCTCTGGAGGGCTCCATGCCCAGTGCTCATTGAAAATGCACAGAACCACATGATAACCCCAGCCAGGTGGGTATTCATGCCCCCATTTGAAAAACGAGGGCATTGAAGTTTTGCTCTCAACCACTGCTTCATGTTCCCAAAGCTCTAGGGGCTCCCTGGCACAGTGCATGAAAATAGAGATAAGGCGAGGTCCAGGCTGCAGGACTTCTCAGAGGCTTTAGCCTACTCTGTGCCTTGGGACCACTGTGGAGGGATAGTTTTGCTGGGCTCACTTGGCACACCTGCAGGAAGGCTGCACACTTGACTGCTTCTCAGCTGTGGGCAAGTCCCTTCAGCCTGCCTGGGTCTTGGTGGCCCCAGCTCGAAAATGAAGGTGATGCCGAGCTCATGATGCGCCCTCCCCCCCTGCACAGAGCTGCCGGGAGGATTCAGTGAGAAGAGCCACAGAGCCCAGGGACTGGGCTAGGCACCAGGGGCTGGGAGGCAGACAGACTTCAAGGCTCCACTGCCCAACGTGCCGGCTCTGTGACTGTGGTCCCATGCCTCAACATCCCTGAGCTCCAGCTTTCTCATCTCTAAAATGGGCGTAAGCAACCCCACACCTCCCTGTGAGGTTGTGAAAAGGACCACTCTGGTGATTCCAAAATCCATCCTTTCCTGACCCACCCTCTCCCTCTGAGAGCCGTGGATCCAGCTGCCTCCTCAGCACGCTCCTGAGGAGGTCCAACGGGCATCTCAAACTCACCCCTGCTAAAGCAGAACTCTGATGCTTCCCCACCCTGAACCTGCTCCTCCTGAAGTGGTTCTCATTGCAAATGCTGGATAGAGCTCTATCCCTCCAGCTGCTTGCACCCCAATGCCACCCACCCCAAAATTTGGACTCATCCCTGACTTACCTCATACCTTACATCCAGTCTATTAGTAGACCCAGTCCCCTCTACCTTCAGATACATCCCAGGCCTGACCACTTCTCACTGCAGTGATTCTACCTGGTCTAACCCACTGTCTCTCTCCTGCCTGGACTGTTGCAGTAGACTCATGACTGGCCTCTGCTTCTGCCCTTGCATTCTGTAGTCTGTTCCTCACCTGGCAGCCAGAGGAATCTTTTTCAATGCAAATCAGATTACACCCTTCTTCTGCTCAAAATCCTCCCATGGCCTCCCCTCTTACTGGGAATAAAAGCCAAAGTCCTCGCTATGACCTCCAAAGCCCCCATCGTCTACCAAACTCCTCCCGTGAGTCTACAAAGTCCGGTCTTCCTCTCTGACTTATTACCTCCCACCTCCCTCTCACTCACTCCACTCCAGCTACCCTGGCCTCCTTGCCATTCCTCCAACACCCCAAGCACTGTCCAGGCTCAGGGCTTTACATTTGCTGTTCCCTCCACCTGGAATATTACTTGGGGGGCCCCAGATGTTCTCCTAGTTTCCTTCCTCCTTCCTTTTGGGTCTCTGCTCCAATGTCACCTGTTTAGAAAGACTTTCCCAGACCACCTTCTAACCCAGGTGTCCTGGTTGCCATCTTCTTGCCGGGTGTTCTTTTTCTTTTGGCACTCAGCACTACCTGATACGATACATCCATCTGCATACTTTCTTTATTCTCTGTCTCTTCCCACCTGGCTGTCAGCCCAAGAGGTCAGGGACCTTGACTGCTTTGCTCACTGCTATACCCCAGTGCCAAGCACAGAGCCTGGCAGACAGCAGACCCTCACAACGTGGAGTACATTTCGGCTGTTAACTGGCATAACCCCAAGGTGCCTGGCCCAGGGATCTGCAGCCAGATGGGTGGGGACCCACCACGGACCTTCCTGAAGACCACCGCCTCCCCCTGCCTTGCTCAGGCTTCTCTCTCTCCTGAGCATAGACTCTCCCTGACCTTCACTTGGGTCCCTATGCAGGGCTAGAACAGCTTGTCTTCTGCTCTCTCTCCTCCGTCAGAATCCCAAGGGTTATGGACTACCCCTGCCTCTGTCAAATGCCCAGACCCCGAGAGCTGGGAAAATCAAGGCAGATAGCTGCAGCTGTGGACGTGAGAGAGACCTGTGAGGATGGAGTCCCTGGACTCCTGTATTGTTCAAGCCGATCACGTGAACAACCCCCCCCCCCCGTCTCCTGGGCTGCCTCATTCTGATGCCTGATTTATCATTTTAATTGAGTGTGTGCATATCGATTTTTTCCTTGACAATGCTGTTCCTCCAGGGCAGGCCTGAGAGGGGGTTAGAGGAAACATTTCTGGATCCTGTTCCTGCTCTGCTCCTGAGTGCTGCTGGTCTTCTCCTCCCAGAGTCTGTTTGCCCGTCTGCAAAATGAGGGCTCGTGAGAGATGATCTTCAGGTCTGATGTGCCTGAAGTCCCGCCCTGAGCCTCCTAGTGAGGGTTAAGGCGCTGTGTTACCTGGAAGGTATAACCCCCAGATGGTAAGGGAAAGGATGGGAACTTGCTTTCGTTAACCTCTGGGTGTCAGGTCTTGAGTTGGGCAGGGTGGGGTCGGAGATGGGAGGTGCAGAATGAAGTGGTTGAGAGAAACAATTCAGAAATCTCATGGGCCATGTGCAAATCCTGGCTCCACACATAGCGTCAGTGTCTTCATCTGTAAAATGGGGGTATGAATACATACCCCCAGAGAATTACTGTAGGACAAAACAAGATAATGCTGGTCATAAGGTGCTCAGCAGAGAGCTTGGCCACAGTAGGTGCTCAATGAATGTTAACTAAGACAGCTGTTATTACTACATACATTACCCTCACTCCCCATGTCCCAGCTCTCGTTCACTTGGTGAACTCCTATTCATCCAACAAAACCCTCCCTGTGTCCCCCTCTTCCTGGACTTGCTTTTCTGTTTCTGCTGCTATGGCTGGCACATGCAGCTTTATATTGCCCAAGTGTCCTTGCATTGTCATTAAATCATTCATTGTTGTTCTTAATCTCCTTTGCTGGTGGATGACTTTCAGGAGGGCAAGAACCAGGTCGGACCCACGCCTGTGTTCCCAGCACCAGGCACAGATCCTTGTGCAAAGGAGGTGTCTGCAATGGAAACAGGCAGCCTACTTGGCACAGGTCAGGGCTCAGAGGCAGTGGAAAGGGGAAGCGGGGACAGGGCTGGAAAGGCCGGTGTTGGCCAGCCCCACGACGAAGGACTCCAGGAGCCCCTCCCAGCAGGTCAGGGCCAGCCAGCCCAGGCGTCCCTCTCGCCAGGGCTCTATTTACCAGGTATCGATTTTCCTGCCTGTTTACTGGTAGTTATTAAAGGCTGCGTCCCTGGAGTCCTTTTCAAATGGGATTGGAACCTGGAGAGCTGGAGTAATTAGGGCAGCTGCCATCCTCCCTGCTGGGCCCTGCACCCTGTCGTGCATGACTGCCGCCCGCCCATCCATCCACCTTGGGCTCGGGCTGGCCGGGGACCAGGCCGAGGGGGGCCGGCTGGGTCCCGGGTGACCTGCCTGGGCTGTGATCTTCAGATTTCCAAGGGAGCAGGAACACTTCTCCCCAGTGGCTTTGGCCTAGATTTTTGGCCAGAACAATGGGTCTAAGATGGGGCCGGAGGTTCTTCAGCCTGGGAAACTGGGGGCCTGGAAGCACAGCTGGTCTTTCTCACCCACCCACTCCGCTGGGTGTCCCTGAGCAGACCACTTCCCTCTTGGGCCCCCAGGGCGCCCAGCTGCAGTGACCACAGCGACAGGGGGGGGGGGGGGCGGCGGGGAGGCGTGCTCCCGTGGCCATTAGGGACCTGTGTCAAGCACGGACCATTTCTGGTCCTGTTTTTCTGTGTCTGCTTTTGTTGTCTGTCCCCCAAACTCCCCTTCGTTTCTTAAGAATGTTTGGTTGAAAAATTCCAATCTTGTTCCAGCTGCACTGAGGGAAAAGGGGCTTTGGCCAAATGTCAGCTGGAGGATTTCAGGAGCTGGGCCCGGGAGACCGGGCGTGGGGGTGGCCGCGGCCACTGCAGCCAGTGAGTGGTTCACGCCTGGGGCAGAGACAAGCAGAGAGATCAAAACACAGTGGGGAGGGAGAGATGTGGCGGGGGGAGGGAGGTGCAGAGACACAGAGAGACACACATGCACAGAGAGACTGCCAAAGGGAGGCCTCGATCAAAATGGGAAGTGCTGCAGCAAGGG